AACTTGCTTATTTGGCCCCCACAATCACCAGTCTCAATCCAATTGAGCATTTGTGGGACGAAGTTAAAAGAGCCATCAGGCAGCTGGTTCCATAACCATCAAATATCACAGAACTGGACAGTGCTATTCATCAGGCATGGTGTCAGATTCCTCGCATCACCTTTCAACATCTCGTGGAGTCAATGCCAGAAGAACCTTGCCGCAGTACTGAAGGCAAAAGGTCGTCCAACGCAGTACTGATAGGGTGGTCATAATACTCTGGCCACTCAGTGTGTGTGTGTGTGGATATATATGTACATATACATATACATCCTCATGTGAGGATGTTTTTCTATTGATTAGAGAGGATGGAGGAGAAAGAGAAAGAGAGAGAAGTATCCATGTGAGAGAAACACATCGGTTGGTTGCCTCTAGCACGTGCCCCGACTAGGGCCCAGTCTGGGGAGGAGCTTCCAACTGGGATACGTGCCCTTGACCGAATTGAATCCAGGACCGATCGTTCTGCAGGTTGATGCTGTATCCACTGAGTCAAACCGGTTAAGGCTAATTTCTGAATCTTTTTAGTCAGTTGACAGTGACAACTTTATATGATCTTTGTCTTCTCTTTTGGCTTTATCTTCCAGTTTGACTTTGAAGGATCACTTTCCCCAGTAATTGCACCCAAAAAAGCAAGGCCTTCTGAGACGGGATCTGATGAGGTAAGTATTATTTCTTGCTAATATAAATTGCCCTGTAGATACTTTTACTCGTCTCTCATTTCTGTGGTATGCCTATGGATTAATTGGGCTTCACAGATACTGTGTTTTTTCAGAATCAAAGGTTTGTGGCAACTCTTCATCGAGCAAGTCAGCTGGTGCCATTTTCCTGACAGAGTTGCTCACTTCGTGTCCCTGTGTCACATTTTGATAAATATTGCAGTATTTCAAACATTTTCATTATTATTACATTTGTTATGGTGACCTGTGGTCAGTCATCTTTGATGTTACTATTGTAATTGTTTTGAGTCTCTACAAACTGCACCCATATGAGATGGTGAACTTACTGGATACATGTGTGTGTTTTGACTACTTCTCTGATTGGCCATTCCCATTCCCTGTTTCCCTCTCCTTGGGCTGCCCTTTTTCCTGTGGCACAACTAATAATCCTACAAGGCCTCCACGTTCAAGTGAAAGGAAGAGTCGTGCATCTCCTCCTGGGAAAAGTGCTGCGGAGATTGTGGAAATGACACAAAGGACTTAGAATATCATGGCCATCACTCAGCTGTTTTGATATTCTTTTTATGTTTCAGCATTGTGCTTTTTTTTTTCATATTCTTAGAGCAGCTTAATTTGAAATGGAACTTGAATTGCTTTAATTGAATTTTTAAAATGACAACATTTCAAGGAGGCATGATTTAAAAATCAAATCTGTTTCTTCTCAGGATTGGGAGTATTTACTGAATTCAGACTACCACCAGAAGGTTGAGTCTCATCTTTTGAACAGATCTTTATGTCTGAGTCCTTTGGAAGTTTCTCAGATAAAGGATGAGGACTTGTCACAGAATCTCAGTCTGGATTCTTCTACACTTCTCTTCTCTCACATACCTGCAATGTTTTTTGTTCTTCACCTTGTCTATGAGGAGCTTAAATTGAATACTCTGATGGGAGAAGGAATTCATTCACTTGTTGACCTCCTTGTTCAGTTGGCAAGGTAAATATTGTGTGTAGAGTGAAAACTTCTAGGAGTGCTCAGGTGACTCAGAAATTGGCCTTCTTAAGAACCCTGAGCATTTTTTAAGAACCACAGAATTGTTTGAAGATATTGGCTATGTAAGAGCCTGTGGATCATGCTAGGGTTGCTATGAACAGCGGGAAGTCACAAAATATGTTAAACACTGGGGGTGACCTGTTGAGCATTTCATGTTGACAAGATGACTGGCTGCACTGTGGTGGAAGTTCTATAATAATACCTGAAGTACTGTAACAATACCTACATTCTGATGGTGCTTACAGTTCAGAGAATCGCAGTTTAGCTACATAAATTGTTAAACAAGGCCAGGGAGTCATGATCCTATTTAATGATGAGAAAACCTGTCTGAGTGTGTTTCCAAGACCATGACTTTTGGCTAGCTGTGGGCTCTGCTGCGCTGTGCTGTCACTGTCTGTGATCATCCCTGCCTTCCAGGTTCCTAGTGGATCTACATTTAAATTGTCCTAACAATGCTCTTTAATAGCCTTGAGTTTCGCAGTGAATTCTAAAAGGCACACTTGGGTG